GAATGCAATTAACACGCCCCGGCATTGAGTAGAATGCAAAAATAGCTTTTCCTTATATTAGTACAAAGGAAACAGAAGGAGGCGTGTTAATTTTTCAATCTGATTGAATTCAGCGGGAGTCCCCGCGGAGGTGAATCGACATACGTAATCCGATAGTTTTATTGGTAATGAGCCCGTCGAGTGGTAAAACTCAAAATCAAAGACTATACGTGCCGTGCTACATGAGGTATCCACGGAATCTAGCTAACCCCACGGTTTTTAGTATGTTCTCTATGAAATAAACATTCCCATGCTGTATAACAATACAGTAAAATGGGCTCACAACGAAAAACCTGCCTAATGAAATAAATAGTGGTTGAGGTTAGCGAAGAATGCCAACCAGAAAAATGCTGTCCTAAAAAAAGCAATCGCGAATTTATCTTTAACTTTTTTCACTTTTCTGTTTTCTTCAAAAGTATGTACATTCAAATCTCAGTATATTCACAATATGACCTATAGCTATAAGGTGGCAACTAAGCCTTTGAGTAAGATACGATCTCCTTACGCCACTCACCTCATAGAAAGTCAAAAGACATCAGAACTTTAACGTTCTGCGGAGATTGAGATAATGTTTCTTCTGACTCTCTTCTTCTTTGTATTGCTTCTGCTTGCTGTGGCGTAGTCTTCACTACGCAGGAAGCTATATATACTGGTCGTGAAGTGGATATTTCCGCATCAAAACGAAATAGTGCTTCGCGACATGATAAAAACAACTTGTTACTAATGAGTTACTGCTCTGAATGCTGGGTTTGAGCTCAAAGCAGACAAATTAATTCGGGGATCGAGGGAATTAAACTGCGCAGCCAAGTGCAACACGGATTCACGGCACTGGCATCTATTTCCATGTTCACAGACAGAGAAAGAGGTTTTGACAACTGGGAGAAATGATGTGATAGGGAAACAGCTCACACCTAACATACAACACAGAAAAGCGTGGACCTTTGTCTTGTCAAGTGACGGTACGTCATTACCGGGTTCTGTAAGTCTCAGCACAAGGAAATATATTATAAATTATACAGACTGTACTTAGAAATATATGCAAGGCTGGAAAAGCACAGTGCGCACCCCCCCCCCCCCCCATCTCACACACACACACACACATTTCAGCTTAACGACCTAAATGAGACAAAAATTTATCGAAGCAATTTCTCCATACCTGTATTATGGTATAATTGACCTCAACGTGTAGTCTTTTATATTTTCCCAGCGAAGCCAGGCAGATATTTGCAGTCTTGTGTCTCCTCCCTCTACAGGCATAAACCTTTATCTCGCCGCGTTGTGTTCTTCTTTTGAACCGACGGAAATGTCCATATTCTGCGTCTAAATTTGCTTTCAATTGGTTTTCACTACAAAGAGTTATTGTTATATTGAGTCCAGCGGTTAATATATATATATGCCTTATATTGACATGCTGATACCACCCATAAGATACTGTAATAGAGTCCGTCCTGTATTACATCTATAGTGCGACGTAAGAAAAACAAAATCTATGGAGGGGCTTATTAACTCGATTGAAAACAAATAAATGAGTCAAATTCGGTCTTTTGGTTCTAAATTGTTTCCAAGAGGCTAGGCACTCAGCAAAACATTTGTGTTCTTTAAATATATTAGAAGATATTATAGCAAATATAAACCGAATTTAAGTAATTAAAATGCATTTCTTTCTAACATTCAGTGGACACCCGTTTTTGGTAGCCTGCAAAAGTTTTAAGCTTCAGATATTGGAGACCATAACAGAGCCAGCCAAGGTCACGTTTCGGTGCCACATTTGATCACGTCATGATGGACATTCACAGATGTAGGACCAGAACAGAACCTATCTCAAACAATTTAGAACCAAGGTACAGAATTTGATTTGAGGACCAGAATAGAGCCATAATTAACACACGTAGATATCTCGGGCCATGTCCAAACACCAAAACAAGTAATACCCCAGTACTTCTCAATCCTTTTATTACCAAATCAAATTTCAAAGAAAGTGAGGGGGGGTCGGTTTCGGAACCCTTCAAATAATCCTGGAGCCGCCCTTGTCATGACACTGTGTTAGGCTTTTCCTTTCCCCCCAAACATCAAAAGGGCTGTTTGCCTTTCCTTCAAAAAGGATCAAATGAATAAATCACAAATAGAAATAACCTGCTTGGACTTAAATACATGTAGTAACCCCCACCCCTGCATTTTCCCTGCCTAATGCCTTGCGTTAGTCAATCGTTTAATTCTGAACTGTCGTGGCTCTACCTCTTTGTTTTCCTTTACTTATTGAGAAAACAATTTTTTCCCCTCAAAGCAGTACTTATATCATAGCCTTTGGACTAAAATCCCGAAGAACAAAAGACGGCAAAAACGCTATTTATTGTGAAACGAAATTATCTTGTCTCAAAGTTGTATTTGTATGCATATAAGCCTTTGGATTAAGCACCTCAAAAGAAAAAAAAAAGCTATTTTTGTGAAAAAAAAACTGTTCTCCTCTCAAAGCAGCATTCATATCGATTATATTACAGTCTTTAGATTACAGTCTGTGTGTGACTGTTTTGTTACAGAGCGTTCAAGACACGTGCGCCATTCTTGTCCTGATTTTGATACCTCTTTCCATTTCCCTTTCTATCTTTACCACTGCACACACATAACGGTTTGACGTAACTTCCTTCGTTGTAGAACCAATTAAATGGGGTTCAATGTGTCATGTGAACAATAGAGCTGAAATAGTACTGAAACTCCTAGCGTGATCGAGGCAATGTGCTCAGGAAGCCATTGCAACTGCTTTCTGTAAGGAGCGTTCAGACCGTTCACAATGAGGTTTATCGACCTAGCTTACACTAACTCCAAGGGGATATTCGCTGAATGCAATCAGATTAGCAGGCTAAAACACCCCCTCCTGGCGTTGGGTAGAATACAAAAACGCTGGTGATTATTCGAGTACGTTGTAAACGAAGATCCCTGTCAGTCTACTAACTGGACTAAATACAGCGAGATTGTGCGCAGTAATTGNCCTAGCTTACACTAACTCCAAGGGGATATTCGCTGAATGCAATCAGATTAGCAGGCTAAAACACCCCCTCCTGGCGTTGGGTAGAATACAAAAACGCTGGTGATTATTCGAGTACGTTGTAAACGAAGATCCCTGTCAGTCTACTAACTGGACTAAATTCAGCGAGATTGTGCGCAGTAATTATGTCGAATGTTGTTAGTCATCTAGTAAAATAAGAATGATAAATATGAATAAAGCTGATACTGGAACTTAATTTAGCGAACTTGAAACCTTTAATTCACTTGGTCTCAGGTTGAGACTGCATGCAACGTCGGTCAGTTGCTAAAAGTAAGGCGACATTCACAACAGGCTTAGCAATTACATCTCAGACACGTACTGCATGGATGGCGCGTGTGGTAGGCGGGAAGATCAATAAGAGATTATGCGACATTGCTTTCATGTAGGAGCGGCCATATTTGATCCGCGGACTAGTTAGTCCGAGGTTCGTCTGTTGAGAATGCGGCCCAAGTTTCAGTGTTAGATTTATGAATTTATCAGTCCCTGGTACTGTTGCACTAGTTTCAGTAGGCCTACATTATATAACAGAACCTGCATTGCGTTCCAATTGTGAAAGATGTAGGCTAATGATATATTATTTGAAGACGACTTGTTAATTGTCAAATCATTATTAGAAAATACCTGCACACTATATAACGCGTCTTACTTGAAAGATCTAATGAAATTTGTCACTGCATAAATACATGTAACATTGGTCAGTTTCACACACACACAACACAAATATTACCACAAGCACATACATAAACGCAAAGAGAGAGAGAGAGAGAGAGAGAGAGAGAGAGAGACATTTGCCCTTTCGTGGATTACTTAGTCGACCAAGCAAACTCGCTGTGATATTGGTGGAAGAGCCCTTCAAAATCACTGGCCCAAGATAAAGTTTTTTTTTTTTTTTTTTTTTTTTAGTAAATCAAAACTAAAAGGTAGTCCAAGTTTCCCCTCAAAGGCATTTTTGTGAAACGCAACTCAGTTCGTCAGCTTAGATTTAGAAGGCAAATATTATAGCAAAAAATCTTTGCTCAACGGTACTGCAGTTACAACTTTCTCCACATTTCCTCTTGATTTGAAGACATTTTGAATTAAAAAAAAAAAAAAAAACTGTCAGACAAGCACTGCAACGAGTGCCACAGCTACACATACGTAAATGCACCGACAGAGCCAAGCTTAACTAGTTCCCTCTACCAGAGCCACAGACTGATTTTTCTCTAGATATTCACAGATATAACTCTGGTTAAATTCGCCGATAACCTCTGTACAATGCCTTAGCGAAAATGTCCACATAATAATAACTGCGGCCCTGGTAGAGGGTAAGAATCTTTTGGGTTGAAGCTGAGATTATATATAACCCAGGTCCACGTCTCAGCGGTCTCTGCGATGTGGTAACTGGTCTCCGATGGCACGTGGCGGACCAGACAGGTGTGTAACTGTGTGCTCTTTGAGTGTTCACACTGCTGGTACAAAAACACTGGAAATAGGACAGGGGAGGGTGTATGGCTCAGTTGGCATTGTAGGCAGCCTCCCCCCTCCCCACCCCCCAATAAAAAAAGCGAAACGAAGCAGAACAAATATTTTTTTTTTATTTTTACCATTTACCGTCAAGCAGAATAACAGATCCGTAAGTGAACAAGAAAGATTTAATGGCAACTAGTGACGACATCAAAATCTAAATCTTTTATGATAAAACCGAACGACATGTATTTTAGAATTGTAGACTATTTATTTTTTACTTTATTCTTTACATCTTCATTTAAATTTTCTTGACATTACGATGTAAATAATTCAAGAACATTACTTGCTATACTAAGAATACGTTCACATATGGCAGTAAGTATATATTTGTCTGGCATGCCTACTGAAGCTGGTAAACGATAATTAATTATCCCCAAGCAGCTTCAGTAGGCAAGACAGACATCTAAGCTGCTTAAGTCGATTGCAATTTAGCAAAAAATCCTCTTATAAATAGATCGATCCACAGTTAGTACAATAGGGTCTGGGCATGGTCCCTATGTTTATTAATGATTGAGGTACACCTGGCACACCTGTATGATGAGGGTCTGGAGAGCGCAGGGATTTCCTCAGAGAAGTCTGAGATTTGGGCTGCGTTCACATGAAAAATCTATTTTTAGAAAACAGATTTTTCATGTAAACGCAGCCTTGGTCTCAAGTTGTAATAAATATCACCTAGTATGCCCATCACTGTTGTGGCTTCTCTAATATTCTCCAGACACCCCTGCTTTTAACCCTAAATTCCTTCACCGACACCTGAGAATCCAACATTTCTGACGAATCACAAGAGATTCTGAAAAAATTCAGTTTGCGTGTTTTGAGGATTGCACTTTAGCTGTTATATACCGAGTCCAATATCAATGCAATGTGTGCTACTTTGTATAGGAGTGACCAGTAGTATACAATGTACATGAGCATTTCGCAAGAGAGACTTGTTTCTAAACATCATCCAGAATATTACCCATAGATCTTATTATCATACTGACTAGATATGAACTACATGTATGAGAACATATACTATCAACACAAGCCAATCTTCATTTCTAATGTCACATCAGAGATACTGATAAAGGATGTGTACACTTGGATTATAGAATAGTTATGCTCTACAAACTAGACAGCCCAGATTCAGTCATGTTTTGGCAAGTTATCTCTGAAGCTCAGGGTGTGTTTTGGTGGAGAACCCTATAACTACATTGCCAACTGGATCTTTAAGGTTCCCTTGGTTCCTGCATGTTGAATGGCCTGGATGGCTTCAGGGAAGGGGTACACTTTGCTGACGAGTTTGTTGACGTCAACTTTCTTAGTTGCCAGCAGGCTGATAGCAGGTTGGAATGGTCCACAGCGAGAGCCAATGATTTTCACTTCTTTAATGACAAACGTTGCAGTATTAAACCCTGCGGAATCCATAGCACATGTGGTCTTCAGTACAACTGTCCCCAGAGGGCGCACCAAGTCCCCAGCCATGACAAGCCCACTCGGATGCCCACAAGCTTCCACCACCACATCAAATTTTTCAGAAAACTGTGTGGTCACTTCAGCTGCACGATCCCTCACATTGACCCTCTCCACACTAGGTGGTGCCAGCTTCATTTTATTGTCATGGCGACCAAACAAGACGAGCTGTGAACATTGCTGTGTTGCTAACACCTCTGTAATGAGGAGTCCCAGCTTCCCATCTCCAATGACCGCCACTCTGTCTCCTGTCTTGATAAGACCTTGCTCTACTATTCTACAGGCAGCAGCCAATGGCTCCACGAAGCAAGCCTCCTGGTCTGTTATCTCGTCTGGTATCTTATGGAGATTGCAGACTGGCAGGGTGAGGTATTCGGCGTACGTCCCATCCTTTTTCAATATCCCCAGCACCTCTCTGTTGGGGCAGTGGTTACGGCACATCACTGACTCCCTGTCAGCACAAATGGTGCAGTCGTCACAGTGACACGCCATATTGATATCCCCGCAGACCCTCGACCCTTTTGTGAAACCACTGCTAGGGGGCGCACTTTCAACCACGCCTACAAACTCATGGCCTATGACGCCCGTGAAGCCCATGTAACCTTTGAGGATCTCCAAGTCTGTGGCACAAATCCCTGCACGGAGTACCTTGACCAAGGCCTCCTCTGGCTTAGGGCAAGGAACAGGTGCTTCCAGCAGTACGGCCCCTGTGGTATTCTCCTTCTCGTCTCCAGTGGCCACTTTCACAACCCTCATGTCAGGATGCTTCGTTGCAACTGGTGTTTAGTGTGTGACCAATAGTTTCTCTTAGAAATTCAAAACCTGAAATAAATTAGTATATACAGTATTGGTGAAAGCAAATATATAAGAATGCAGCAGCAGCAGCAGCAGCAATTAAATAAGGAAGATGAAACTGTATTGGTATGTAAGCTAGGCCTTCCTTAATTCTTACTTTCAATGTTACATGTACAGGTAAAAGCTACAGTAGTACTTGTACTGGTAATTTCTTTAGCATTAAATGCACCATCACCACAATTTTATAGTTATCATTATCATTTTATTTTGTCGATTATACTTGATATGACAAATAAAGTATATATCTCTTCTGTATTTTCTCTATGTGAATATCACACCCACGCACGTGCGTGCGTGCCCTCAGGTGCGGGCCTATTTTATCATATGTATTAGGACGAGATATATACCGGGTAGTTCGTATGTTAAAGGTTTTTTATTTGTATATTTCACCGGTGCGTTCTATTAAATTTTGTATTTTTATACTCAATTATCTGTACCTCATAAAGGTAAAGGTGATCAGTAAACAATCGCAGCCCATGCTGTTTTAATAATTGAAATAAACACAGAGCCTCCGCACTTATTTGCGAAACGCAGAATTGCCTCCTAACTCGTAACTGGATCTTAACAAGTCTCCCAAAATTATTTAAGTTCAAAGCAGAGACTCCAGAAAGCTTTAAGGTTAATCTCTCAGATTCCCCCCTCAACTCACTTCCACATTGTACACCCTGTGTGTCGTCCTTGACATACAATAGTCGACCTTGACCTCCGTAACAGCATTTTGTAAATGAAAAATGAAACATGTTGTAGCATTGAAATGGATTCATAAAATCTAAGAAAATAAACGTGACTTCGTGAAAAAAATGTTGTTTAAAACTGTGATCAGTTAGATGGTTATTTGCAGTATCAAATAAATGAGTTTAAATACCAAACTAAATGTAAAAATGGTAGTTAGCCTCTGCATTCGTTTGTAGCCAATCAAAATCTTTATTAAGTACGAAACTAAGACTCTAAAAGTTGAAAAATGGCGACCAGACCGTAAAGTTACGTTAAAGTAGAAACGTAATTTATACTGTATTTTCTCACAATAATCAACTGAAAGTTGGCGAAAAACAACCACGCTATGAGTTCTATTCATTTCGTAGTTCACCCTCTGCCGGGAACGGAAGAGCAGTTAAACGAGAGGTAAATTTTTAGTGGCGAAAAATGGGTCGTCTGTCTGTCTGTCGGTTGCACAATGGAATCAGAATGTCGGTGCGTGTTTTATACGAAATAGAAAGTTGTGGGGGATTTCCCCCATGACTTTCATCATCTACGTATTATTGAATCTTTGAATAGATCTTCAACCCATGAAAGATTTGTTTGAAAACAGTCCCACGTTTTATTATGTACAATAGTAATAATACAGTAAGTACACTACACGGGAAGTTGAAGGTCGGTCATTAATTTTATATGCCAGTAGCCAGCAGTAGCATAACTACTAATGGGTTGAGCTTTCAGACATGGCAAAAACTCTGGAGCCTTACTGGTCCTTTTGACCAGCTGCCCAAAAAATCTGCTGGTCCTACCAAAATTTTTACATCACCAATGTGACAATTTCCCTAAATATTAAAGACTGCTAAATTATAAGGCTATTTTGTTTATGATGGGGTAGTGTACATGTAGCCCCCCCCTCCCCCCCGCCGTCTGTGAATGAAGCTGTAGGGGCTCATCTCCACAAAAACTTTCAAAAAAATGAAACTAAAAAGTGTTTTCAATTGCTTTCTCACCAAGAAAAAATTACAATAGTTTCATTTAAAATGAATTTGTGTATGTGTATGTAAAATCCAATAAGTGGTATAAATTCAGATTTCGATGCCTGCATTTTCTCGATTAATTTTGAGGTCTAGTTTCATCTTTTTTCAACAACAATGTAGAAACATAAGGTATACTATATTCTGCTACAAACTTGATTGCCAACACTCAAACATTTTGCCTTTCTTTTTTTCTCCAAGATTGAAGGAGGTTGCTGAGAGGATCAGTCACCATGGTTACAACAGCCCCCCTGCATTGAGCACGCTCTGGAACAGCCGTGTGACACAGGTGGCCGTGGGGCCAAGTCATGTGGCCTTCTTGCTGGAAGTAAGATACTCTCTCTCTCTCTCTCTCTCTCTCTCTCTCTCTCTCTCTCTCTCTCTCACACACACACGCACGCATGCATGCACGCACGCACGCACGCACGCTGTCTCATACAAAATTATGCAAGTTGATTCTCACTGTTTGCATGAGCTTGTAAAAGACATAATTACATTACAGTACATTGAGATATGTTGATGTTAAGCTGGATTCACACTATTGACAGTTGTGTATGATAAGATTTCATCGTTTCAGGATGGCCGAGTGTGTCGTTTACCATTCAGTATCCTATCAGAACGGTTGGACCTGAGCAAGTCCGACCAGAAAGCGTATGTATCCTGTCAGCTTTTAAGTGGCATGCTTCTAATTACAGAGATATGTTTTCAGAAAAGGAGCTTCAGATTGTAGCTACTGATTCATGTCTGGTATTTTGCCTGCTTTAACAAGTACACGGCATTAATGGGCCCTATCCTCCTCTGAATAAAAAGCATTGCTAGACTTGTCCCTCCACTTGGATTTGATGGTTTTTACCATTTCTCATTAAATATAGATGTCATATAATGTTCAGACTGCCATGACTGCCTGTATATTTGAAAAATTAAACAGGTCCTTATATAGGGGTTTAATCTTTTTTCTATCAAACAGTCTGAATAAAGAATGCTAAGTAGCTTTGCAAGATGAAGACAAAGTTAATATGGCTTTGGGACTGTTACATTTGCAGATATGGCATTTTCAGTTTAATACATTAATTAAAATTTTAGTTAAACTTGGTTAAACTCCAGGATGTCTCTCGGTGGAATTTTTTTTTTTATTTGAATGCTGATAAAAGTCGTTGATTGCAGTGACAAGAATTGTGTAACTACTACCTGTCTCTGTTGTTAGTTTAACACCTACGAGTCCTCCTTGCCCCAAAGTGTAAACAGCTTTGTGCCGATAAGTAGACACATTTTCAAGATTTAACTGGTCCAGGCTTCTGTAGTGTTGGTTTTAGTAACATTCCAAACTAATTGGCTTTTTCAGTAGAATTCCAAAATTCCAAGAATTGAAATCAATTTTGAGGGGACTTTCCTGGAGCCCAGCTGATTAGTTTTGTCACACAATAAATGTTCAGAGGTAAAAAAAGGGGGGTGGGGTCATGTGTATATTAACGTTTGCAGGGAGGGGGGGGGGCTGGTTGACACTGAAGGCTGTGATGACATTTGGAATGTTTCAGTATAATGTATTAGGAAGCATGCCTGTCTGTCTGTGTTGTCTCGTCCACTATTTGTCCACTGTCTGTCCACTACAGTTACTAACTAGAAAAAAAAAAAAGATTCTGCCAAAGAAAAGGTTTCTGGTGGTGGAAGAACAATTATACTTTATCTGATAGGGTGACGAAGTCACAGGTCAATTCTGAAAATAATAGAATCCTGGGATTTGATAAGTGCCAAAATAAGTTATATTTGAGAAACAATCCATTGAACCTTGGTAGAGGGATTCTTACCTTCTTGCTGAAAAAAATTTTCTTTGCCTCAGTTTGTCTTTAAGCAGCCATATCCACAATGACAAAAAAAAAAAAAAAAAAATGATCTGATTTATTTCAAAGTTACTGAAAATTTTTTTGTGTTGACCAAAAGTGAGAAAATGAAATGAGCATCACAGATCAAAAATGTGAGAAGAAAAAAAAAAGACAAAACAAATATCCATATAGATAAGCTATGTACTTTAGTAGTTAAGGGTAGTTAGGACGTCACTAAAGCAGCCATTTTCTCTCCCATAGCTCCACCAATCCTGCACAGGGAGGCGTAGCGCGCCAGCGGGGCGGCACTCGTTTTGCTGACGCTCAGGCGCTGTTATTGGTTTCTGATGCCGCAGGTGCTGTGGCCATACAGGAAGTTGGGTGAGCGCATTTATTCTACATATGCCGGCCACAGCTTCTGACTCTTTTTGCTTACTGTATGCACATGTATATTTATATATATTATATAATTATGTATACCTACACTTTCAGGGTCTTACGCCTGACTGACTGGCTTCAAACTGATCATGAATGTGTTGGCATT